CGTTTACACACCCGCCACCAATTTTTTTTTCAGCCAAATTTTGAGAGAATGTTTAGAAACACTCTCTGAACAATTACAAACAAATTTCGGCTTCCGCAAGTCCGCCATCTTGGAATTAATAACCTCAAAAAATACTAAATCTCCGTTTAAACACCCGCCACCAATTTTTTGTTCAGCGAAACTTTGAGAGAATGTTTAGAAACACTCTCTGAACAATTACAAACAAATTTCGGCTTCCGCAAATCCGCCATCTTGGAATTAATAACCTCAAAAAATACTAAATCTGCGTTTATACACCCGCCACCAATTTTTTTTTTAGCCAAATTTTGAGAGAATGTTTAGAAACACTCACTGAACAATTACGAACAAATTTCAGCTTCCGCAAGTCCGCCATCTTGGAATTAATAACCTCAAAAAATACTAAATCTGCGTTTATACACCCGCCACCAATTTTTTTTTCAGCCAAATTTTGAGAGAATGTTTAGAACCACTCACTGAACAATTACGAACAAATTTCGGCTTCCGCAAGTCCGCCATCTTGGAATTAATAACCTCAAAAAATACTAAATCTGCGTTTATACACCCGCCACCAATTTTTTTAAGCTAAATTTTGAGAGAATGTTTAGAAACACTCACTGAACAATTACGAACAAATTTCGGCTTCCGCAAGTCCGCCATTTTGGAATTAATAACCTCAAAAAATACTAAATCTGCGTTTATACACCCGCCACCAATTTTTTTTCAGCCAAATTTTGAGAGAATGTTTATAAACGCTCACTGAAGAATTACGAACAAATTTGGACTTCCGCAAGTCCGCCATCTTGGATCTTATTACCCCCAGAAATATAAAATCGTCGTTTAAACAGGCGTCACCAGTTTTTTTTCAGCGAAACTTTCAGAATATGTTGAGGACAGGTACCTTAATAAAATCGAACGCGATTCAACTTCCGCAAGTCCGCCATCTTGGATCTTATTACCCCAAAAAATATAAAATCGTCGTTTAAACACGCGTCACCAATTTTTTTTTAGCGAAACTTTGAGAATATGATTAGGACATGTCCCTGAACAAAATCAAACGCGATTCGACTTCTGCAAGTCCGCCATCTTGGATCTTTTTACCCCGAGAAATATAAAATCGTCGTTTAAACAGACGTCACCAGTTTTTTTTCAGCGAAACTTTTAGGGATTGTTAAGAATGGTACATTGAACTACTAAGAACGAATTTCGACTTCCGAAAGTCCGCCATCTTGGACCTGATTACCTCGAGAAATATTAAATCATCGTTTGAACACCCATCAACAATTTTTTTTCAGTGAATTTTTCCGAATATGTTCATTAAAGGTCACTGAGCAATTGCGAATACGTCGAAATTCTGGAAGTTGGCCATCTTGGATTTGATTATCCCGAGAAGTTTAACCCTCGGAGAACACATGGGGTCATTTTGACCCCACAGTTTTTTGCGAAAAGCTTTTTATCTATTGTCTAATATTTTTTATAAGGATTTTAAAGTCCACAGACTTATTTTACAGAGTTTAAGGGGGGAAACCACATTAGAACGCTGTTTTTTAGCCGTTTTTCGCGAATTTTTTTTTAAGGTAAGAATTTTTTTGAATGAAATAAACATTTCCACCATGTTTCACATATATTCAACTGTAACTCATATTTTTTTTAAGCGTTTATATCAAAAATCTTTTAAATTGGGAGCTATTACATATAGAGCTGCTCCGCCGGAGTTCATAACTGCCGTGCAGTCCTGAGCCCACAAATTTTGTCCGAAAGCAAAAAATCAAGTTTATTCACATTTTATTATTAAGTGAACCAACTTTTAAGTGAAAATATTGAAAATTGAAAAAATGACACTACTTTGAAAAAAATATTCGATTTTTTGCCTACATTTTTGCAACTTTTTTATTTAAAAAAAAGTACTAAGAATTTTTTTTTCTTTTCAAGTTTGGTTCACTTAATAATAAATTTTATAACGAACAATTTTCAACTTTTCATTTTAAAATCGGTGAATAACTTTTTGAGCTACACTGCACGGCAATTTCAAAAATCCGGTTTTGAGAAAAACGCATTTGAAAAAAAGTATCAAAAAATTGATATTTATACAAAAAATTTTTTTTAAAGTGCTCACACTTTAATCGGCTATTCCAGCACTATACATATCCCTTTATCTGCTTCTTAAGTAGCATGTAAGTCTAATAATTCCTCTTTTCGTCCCTTTCTGCTCTCCTTAGTCTCAAAAGTGCTACGCCTATTCTACTAATTTACGGTAACCTGGAGCGCGCTCCGTTCATCACCAGTACAGCGAGGACGTCGAATTTTGCTCTTAAAACTTTTGCAGCCTATTTTTGAACACCTTAACTAACAATTTATGCAAAAAAGAAAAAATCGATTTTTTCAGACGTCTAACGTGGTTTCCCCCCTTAAACTATATTTTTAAAAAATCTTCAGGTTAATCAGATGAACAGTTCAAAATTGGTTGAGCATTGAAAAATGATCTAAAAAAGAGGTGTGTTCTCCGAAGGTTAATATCAACGTTAAAATTACCGTCAACTATGATTTAATATGTAATTTTACTAGCAATTAGTGACATTTTAGTATTTGTTAGTTTAATTTTACTAATTCTAAAAATATAACAAATACTATTGATTAAATTTTTTTTTTAAAATCGATAAAACTGTTTTACTAATTCATTTAGTGAAATAGTTACACAGGCACACAAAAAAAGTGTCATGGCCGAGACATTACACTAGTATATTCCCATGGTTTTTTGGCCGCTGAATCCGAATTTGAAGTAAAAATTGACAGATTTGCTCAAAATTTTGAGATAAACTCAAAAAACGACTCAAAAAACCGAATTAAGATGAAAAAAATTTTTTATGACAATACTCTCTAAGTCTGAATTAGTTAAAAATAACTAATTATTAGTAAAATCGTGGATGACTTTTTGCTTCAGAAATTAGTAAAAAATAACTAATTATTAGTAGAGAATCACTAATTAATAAAATAAATAACTAAAAAAATAGTCAAATTTCACTAATTGAATTAGTTATTACAAATTTCAGTCATTTTTACATAACCTAAAATTGAATTTAACTAATAATTAGTCAATATTAACTATTTCATTAGTAAAATATTACCATTTGAATCAGTGACTGACTTTTTGCTATCGAATCAGTTATTTTTAACTAATTCAAATTTAGAGAGTACACTACTATATTACCATGTACTTTTTCCCGCTGAATCCGAATTCGTAGTCAGAATTGACAGATTTTCTCAAAATTTTGAGATAAGCTAAAAAAATTGATAAAAAATAGATTTAAAATAAAGAAATGGAAATTTTTTGCTGTGACACAACACTAGAGTATTTCCATATATTTTTACACTCGGATCTCGCATTTGAAGTCAGAATTATTAAAATGGCTCAAAATTTTGAGAAACACAAGAAAATCTGTTAAGTTACAAAAATTAAAGTCAGGAAACTCTACTTTTCTTGCTAGTACACTACATTAGTATATTGGCTCAAAATTTGGAGTTAAATCCAAAAATGCTCAAAATTTAATTTAATGCAAAAGAGTTCATTTTTTTGGTATTCGATAGTGTAAAAACATCCGAGTATAAACATATATGGAAATGCTGTAGTGTAATGCCATAGCAAAAAATTTCCATTTTTTATTTTAAATCGCTTTTTTTTATCAATTTTTTGAGCTTATCTCAAAATTTTGAGAAAATCTGTCAATTCTGACTACGAATTCGGATTCAGCGGGAAAAAGTACATGGTAATATAGTAGGGTAGTGTCATAAAAATTTTTTTTATCTTAATTCGGTTTTTTGAGTCGTTTTTTGAGTTCATCTCAAAATTTTGAGCAAATCTGTCAATTTTGACTTTGGATTCGGATTCAGCGGCCAAAAATACATGGGAATATAGTAGTGTAGTGTCTCGGCCACGACACTTTTTTTTGTGTGCCTGTGTTATAGATTACTGATAAAAAAAAATCATTATTTCATATTAAAAAAATTTTGTTTCTATAACTTTTTCTAAATTATTTTCATCATTTCAAATCAGTTATTACCTATTTTCTAAAAATTTGAACTAAAATATTTCTTTAAATGAATTACTTTTAAGAATTTTTAAAAAAGTTCTTTCAAAAATTTCCAATCATTAGTTTACAGTTAAATTTTTTAAATTTCGTTTATTCGAAAATTCTTTAATTAAATATATATTAATAAATAAAAATTTCAAACAATTTAAAGAAAAAATTCAACTAATCTTTTCCAAAAACTTTAATTCTACAAAATTGTTAATTAAAAATATGAAAAATTTAAATTTTCAAAGATATTAATTTAAAACCTTTTTAAACTTCAGTTGTTTCAAAAATTACATGCTATAATGCTTTTAAAATTTAATTCTTATTTAAAATTTTAACTTAAATTAATTTTTAAATAAATTTTTATTAGAAAATTATACAAAAATTCAATTATTTAAATACAAAAAAAAATAATTTTTTGAAGAATTAAATATTTCTTAAAATTGAATTCTTTCGAAGAATTGTAATGAAATTTTTATGAATAACAGCATTTATCGAGGAATTTGATTACAATTGTATTAAAAGTAATTGAATTTATAAAAAGAATTTTATTATTTATGTAAATAGCTGAATTCCTGGGAAATTTTTATTAACAAAATAATTAAATTAATTAATTACTTAATTAATACGCATTTTTATTTTTTTTATTTATGAAAATATTTATTTTATTTTTTATTTATTTATTATTTGATTTATTTTTATTAAAAAAAAAATTATTTAAAAAAAATAATTAAAGGTTTTATATTAGAATTCGTGGTAATTTCGTAGTTTATGAAGTATAAAAAAAGCAAAATAGAGAATTTTCTCATGCGTAAGCATTAATTTTTAATAAAAATAATTAAACAATTTTAATATTTTATTTTTATATAAAAATTTATTCATTATAAAATTTTAATATAATTAAGAGATATATATAAAAATGATATATTTTTTTAGAGAATAGAAAAAAAAAATTTATTTCTAAAATAGAATTCTCAGTACTAAAATTTAAAAACATTTAGTACTGAGAATATCCTCCACTTGAGTAATTCTTCCACCCCCTCCGGCCCCTTCCGCGTCCACGGTATCCTCGACCGCGATATCCGCTGCCACGACTTCCTCCAGTTTTCTAAAAAGACAAAAATCAATTATTTAAAAAAAATTTTTTAAACTTCTTTGAAAATTTTCAAATCTATTTGAAATAAAAACTTCAAATAATTTTAAAAAATTCTATTAAACTTATTCAAAAAATATTAATTCTACAGAATTGTTAGTTGAAAGTATGAAAAATACAAATTTTCAAAGACTTTAATTTGAAATCTGTTCAAAATTCAATTAATCTAAAACTATTTATATTTTTAAAAAATTAAATAATTAGTCATTATAATTTTTTCAAAAGAATTAAAATTTTCAAATTTAAAACTTAATGCAATTAAACAACTTATAAAAAATTGTTATAAAATATAACCGACTGATAAAATCATTATTTTATATTATAAGAATATTGTTACTGTAACTTATTCAAAATTACTATCATCATTTCAATTCAATTATTTTTTCCAGAATTTTGAACTGAAATTCTTCTATAAATACAATATTTTAAATAATTTTTTAAAAAGTTTTTTGAATATTTTCAAATTCATTTGTTTACAATTCAATTCTACAAAAATTCAATTTTTCAGAAAATCTTCAATTAAATATCTATTAGAAAATAAAACTTCAAATAATTTAAAAAAAAATACGCAATTAAACTTTTCCAAAAAATTTAATACTACAGAATTGTTTGTTGAAAGTATGAAAAATACAATTTTCAAAGATTTTAATTTTAAACTTGTTCAAAATTCAATTATATCTATTGTAATGCTTTTCATATTCAATTATTATTATCTAAAATTTTAACTAAAACTCATTTCTAAATAAATTTTTAAATTTTCAAAGGCGTTAATTTAAAACCTTTTTAAAATTCAGTTGTTTCAAAAATTGCATACTATAATGCATTTAAAATTTAATTCTTATTTTAAATTTTAACTTAAATTAATTTTTAAATAAATTTTTATTAGAAAATTATACAAAAATTCAATTACTTAAATACAAAAATAAATAATATTTTAAAGAATTGAATATTTTTTGAAATTAAATTCTTTCGAAGAATTGTAATAAAATTTTTAAGAATTCGAGGAATTTGATTAAAATTGTATTAAAAATAATTGAATTCAGAAAAAGAATTTTATTATTTATGTAAGTAATTGAATTCCTGTGAAATTTTTATTAAAAAATTAATTAATTAATACCCATTTTATTTTTTTTAGTTATGAAAATATTTATTTTATTTCTTATTTGAAAAAAAAATATTTAAAAAAAATAATTAAAGTTTCCAAAAAAGTTATTTCTACAGAATTGTTTGTTGAAAGTATGAAAATTACAAATTTTCAAACATTTTAATTTTAAACTTGTTCAAAATTTAATTACAGGGTTGCCACAAATATTTAATTTTATTTTTCCCTGACTTTTCCCTGATTTTTCGACAAAAAAAATTTTCTCAAAATATTCAATTATTTGAAAAAATTGTAATAAAATTCGTTGCAATAATTCAATTATTTTCAAAAAAAAGTAAATAAATAAATCGATTATTCGGTAATTCATTTTCTAATCAATTTTTATTAGAAAATTCTAGAAGAATTCGATTATTTAAATTAAAAAATAAATCCTGCGATAAGCTTTATTATTTATGAAAATAATTAGAAATTTTCCCAAAAATTTTATTAAAATTTTTCTAAAATAATTGTATTTCGGTGATTAATTTTATTATTTATAAAAATAATTGAATTCTTTAAAAGAGCTTTGTTAAATTTTTTTTAAATAATTGAATTCATGCGACATATTTTATAAAAATCTTTTTAAATAATTGATATTTTTCGAAAAGTTTTATGAAATTTTGTATATAAAATAATTGAACTCATGTGAAAAATTTTATTGCTTATGAAAATAATGGAATTATTTCAAAGAAATTTATTAAATATTTTATGAATTATTGAATTCCTGTGAAATTTTAACAAGAATTTTATTCAAATTTTTAAAATAATTCAATTCTGAAAAAGAATTTTATTATTTTTAGCAATAATTGATATCTTGACGAGAATTTAAAAACATTTTTCTAAATAATTGAATATTAAAGAATTTTATTATTTATAAAGATAATTGAAATCACTTGTAACTTTTCCAAAATTCAATTTTTTAAAATTATTTTTAACAAAAATTCTTTTATCAATCTAGTATTTATGGTCATTGTAAAAATGATTCATTAAATAATTTATAAGTCATAATTTGATGATAGTTCTTGTAAAATTAAGTTATGTAAAAAGAAATTATTGTCTGAAATAGAAAAAAATTCAAGGTTTTGTATTCAAATTCGTGGTAGTTTCATAGTTTACGAGGCAAACAAATAAAACATCAAATTTAGAGTTTTTCATGAATTTTTAAAATTTAATTTTTTCAGTACTTTTAAAATTCAATTTTTTCAGTACTTTTACTAAAAATCTCTGCCCAATTTTACTTTGCCTGACTTTTCCCTGAATTCCCAGACCTGTGGCAACCCTGAATTATTTCTAAAAATTCATGTTGTAATGCTTTTAATATTCAATTATTATTATCTAAAATTTTAACTAGAATTCATTTTTTAAATCAATTTTTATTAGAAAATTCTGAGAGAATTCAATTACTTAAATAAAAAAAGTTTATTGAATAATTTAAATTTATTAAAATTGAGTTCTCATAAAGAATTTCATTAACAAATTTTCAAATAATTAAATTGTTGAAAAATTTGTAAACAATTTAACTCCTGTGAATTTTTATTATTTTTGAAAGTAATTAAATGAAATTCTTACCGCATCTTGGCTCCATGTTGCCGACTCATTAACACCAGGTGGTGCCGTTGGTGCAGCCGGATACGCAGCATAATTTTGATATGCTGCGTATGGTGCTGGAGCTGGTGGGTAGTATGGTGCTGGAGCTGGTGGAGCCGCGTAAGGTGCTGTTGGTGTTGCATATTGTGCTGGAGCTGGAGGAGCTGCGTAAGGTGCTGGTGGTGTTGCGTATTGTGCTGGTGATGAATGGTAATTGTATGATGAATGGTATGGTGCTGGCGGTGCCGCGTCTTGTGCTGGTGGTGAAGAGTAGTATGATGCTGGCGGAGCTGCTGGTGCCGCATAAGGTGCAGGCGGAGCTGCTGGTGCCGCATAAGGTGCCGGCGGAGCTGCTGATGGCGCATAAGGTGCTGGCGGAGCTGCTGGTGCCGCATATGGTGCTGGGCGGAGCTGCTGATGGCGCATAAGGTGCTGCGGAGCTGCTGGTGCCGCAATATGGTGCTGGCGGAGCTGCTGATGGCGCATAAGGTGCTGGCGGAGCTGCAGATCCCGCATAAGGTGCCGGCGGAGCTGCTGGTGCCGTATAAGGTGCTGGCGGAGCTGCTTGGTGCCGCATAAGGTGCTGGTGGAGCTGCTGATCCTCGCATAATGTGCCGGCGGAGCTGCTGATTGGCGTCATAAGGTGCTGGCGGAGCTGCTGGTGCCCGCATATTGCGCTGGCGGAGCTGCTGATTCCCGCATAAGGTGCCGGCGGAGCTGCCTGGTGCCGCATAAGGTGCAGGCGGAGCTGCTGGTGCCGTATAAGGTGCTGGCGGAGCTGCTGATGCCGCATAAGGTGCTGGTGAGCTGCTGATGCCATATAAGTGCAGGAGAGCTGCTGGTGGCCGCATAAGGTGCTGGCGGAGCTGCTGGTGCCGCATAAGGTGCTGGCGGAGCTGCATGGTGCCGCATATGGTGCTGGCGAGCTGCTGATCCCGCATAAGTGCCGGCGGACGCTGCTGATGCCGCATAAGGTGCTGGTGGTTGTGCGTAGTATTGTGCTGGTTGTGTCATGTAAGGTGCTGGTGGTGGTGCGTAGTATTGCGCTGTTGGTGTCATGTAAGGTGCTGGTGCTGGAGCAGTTCCTTCAGCGGCAGGAGGAGCTGGAGCACTTGGTGCCTTGAGAGTGAGGAGTATAGTGCTGGAGGTGTTGAGCAGCGAATGATGGTGTTGGAGCAGCGGCGGATGGTGTTGGAGCAGTGGCGGATGGTGCTGTACCAGCGACGAATGGTGACTGTACCAGTAACGGATGGTGCTGTACCAGGATGACCTGCAGTAGCTATAGGACGGTGCTGAACCAGCCACAGGATGACCAGAAGCGACTGGAGGTGCTTGACCAGTGATAGTATGAGTAGCTGTAGCAGGAGCTCGAGTAAGCAGGAGGTGCTGAACCATCGACAATAGGAGGTGGATTCTTTCCTTTGGTTGTGGATCCAGTTTTCACCTCTGAAGCGTATCCCGTATTTGACGGTTTCTGGAAACAAAATTTTTTATTTAATATATAAGAAACATTCTTTTAAAAGATTTATTTAATTTATTAAGTGTATCGATTTTGTTAATAATTGTGAATAATAATTTTACTATTAAAATTGATTAACATTATTGATAGAAAAATAAATAATATTTAAGAATAAATTGTTTGATTATTAAGTGTAAAAAATTTCTAACTATTTTCAATAAAAAACTTTTTAAAATTTGTGTTTTAAAAATATTTAAAGAAAATCTTCAAAATTATTTTCTGGTAAGATTTAAAAAAATATTTTATAAAAGTGTATATTGTTTGTTTATTTATGATTCAAACATAATCAAAGAATTAAAATGCACTGCATTTTATATAAATAATTAGATTTAAAAAAATATGTTGACATTTTAAAAAATCATTATTAATTTCAGAAAAATTAATAATTAGAAATATCAAGGTTGCCACAAATATTTAATTTTAGTTTTTCCTTGATTTGCAGACAAAATTTTCACTTTTTCCCTGGCCCTAAAAAATATCTGATTCACTCTAAAAATTAATAGAGATTCAAAAAAAATTTTCTATTTCATGTATTTACAAATTTCGTTAATTGTAAAATTATACAAAAACATCATTAATTTATTTTTTAAATAAATATTTAATCCTTATTATTTTTTGAAATTCAACAATTTTTAAGAATATTATAAAAAAACATAAAGAAGGAGATCAACTCCAAGTCGAAGACTCGGAGTGATCTCCTTCTTTATGTTTGTTATAATTTAAATTACCATGAAATTTTTCAAACAAAACAAGAATTTTATTCAAATTTTTAAAAATAATTGAATTTTGAAAAAAGAATTTTAATATTTCTAACAATAATTGAATCTTGATGAGAATTTAAAAACATTTTTCTAAATAATTGAATATTAAGAATTTTATTATTTATAAAGATAATTAAAATTTTGACAAGAATTATTTTTAAAAAAATTTTGAAACATAATTGAATTTTTACGAGGAATTTTATTACTTTTGAAAATAATTTAATTCTTCCAAACGAATTTTATTCAAGTTTATAAAAATAATTGAATTTCGGTGAAGAATTTTACTATTTCTAAAACTAATTGAATTCCTGAAAAGAGCTTTGTTTAATTTTTTTTTAAATAATTGAATTCACGCGACATATTTTATAAAATTCTTTTTAAATAATTAATATTTTTCGAAAAATTTTATGAAATTTTATATTTATATTTAAAATAATTCAATTTTGAAAAAGAATTTTATTATTTCTAACAATAATTGAAATATTGACGAGAATTTAAAATATTTTTTCTAAATAATTGAATATTAAAGAAATTTTATTATTTATAAAGATAATTGAAATTACTTGTAACTTTTCCAAAATTCAATTTTTTAAAATTATTTTTAACAAAAATTCTTTTATCAATCTAGTATTTATGGAAATTGAAAAAATGATTATTAAATAATTTATAAGTCATAATTTGAGATTATGGAAAATTATAATATGTAGATGATTGGAATATTAGTGTCTGAAATAGGAAAAATAAATTATTGTAGGAAATAGAACAAAAAATTAAGATTTCGTTAATAAGATCTTTGTTAATTTATT